ATATCGGGATATATCGTATCGTGACCCCTCTGTCATAATGTGTATCGTATCGCCAAATTCTTGCCAATACACAGCCCTACTCAAAATGAGTTGATTTGAGACATACCTCAGAAAAGGGGGTGAAAGAGGGGTTTGTGGAGTTACAATAAGGAGGAATTCAGAACAAAGCATTGCAGTTCCACTTTACATAGACCCCAATCAGGATTTAAAAGCATGATATGTTCTTATTACTTAGTAATGCTTGTTTAGACCGTCACCAGAAGATAAACGGGGCAATCGTGTTTTGCCTGTTTGTTTGTTAACACTATATTTCATGAACCCCCAGACACATTTCAACGAAACTTGTAGACTAATCACAGGATGTACCTCTGCCACAAAGAGTCCTACTGGAGAGGTGACAAGGTGGGCATCATTTTCACGGTCGAGAGCTCTTCTAAACGGTTTCATTGTTATCCCCATCCACACTGAGTATGCCTAACGCTAATGAGTATGATGCTCATTAGGAGCTGGTGTGGAATCCGCACATCTTCATTTTGTTTCACTCACCATTTAACGCCTCCTCTTCGGGAAGTTTTCCAATGAACAGATCTTTCCTCTCCAACAATGTGCTGAACAGCTTGCTGCAGGCGCTGACAGCATTAAGAACATCCTTCTCTTTCTCTGACTGTTGACACAAAATGTTCATTGAATGCTACAATTAGCTAAACAACATAAATTCTATGTTTTGCGAATATATATATTTTTCTCTTACCTGAAGAAMCTCCAATATATCAAATACATCATTGGCGTGCTTTCGGCTTCCAAGTATACGTTCAACAACACCATCTAAGTCGAGTTTAGTCCTCTTTAAAGTTAACTCAGAACTCACGTTGCGTTTCTTGGCCGGCGCCATGTTTACTGAGTTGATGCTGCGTTCGCGCGACTCCTCGAGAATAGGAAAAAAGAAACTCGTTTTTTCAGCGCAACGGGGGAAAATCAGCGGGTATCTAGCTCTTTTGTAATGTATACATTTTATCTTGTATTTAGAGTAACTATTGGTAAACGTGATACATAAGGGCGACCAAAAATATTTTTCCACTAATGTCTCAGTATTAAGATATTGATTAAAGTTAACAGCAGGTATTGAATGCATCATTTATTCTAAATATTTAGCTGACCAGAAGATGGCGCTCTCAGTGAATGTTTTATGTAAGAACGCAGGAAGAACTTTTGAATGAACTACAATACATTACTAGCCTGGTTTAAAACAGACCCTGTCCTTCACTTTGCTTCGTACAAGGAGCAGTGAAGGGAAACTAGAAGTGAGCGGAGCTGCGTAGGAAGGCAAGGGCCAGGCTAATACATTACGATTTGAMGATAAATTTAAATTATTAGACCAACATGCACTGTCTAGACCAGTGTTTCCCAAAGTGGGGTCCTGAAAAGATTTTCTGAATTAATTACATTTTTGCCTTAGCTCAGTGTATTTAAAATGGATAAATGTTGTATAAAAATATTGTTACTATGCCCATGTTTTGTTGACCTGATACAAATGTTTATCATCCAAAAATAGTTGGGGGCACAGTTCTCTGCTACTATTATTTTGTGGGTCAAAAGCTGAAAAGTTTGGGAACCACTGCACTTTGGTTCCCAAAGTTGGGCTTGGGACCCAATTATGGGTCATGAAGCACCTTGGATAATCTCCAGAAATCAATTTAAAGGGTAGTAAATAATTGCTGATGTAAATCTCTCATGAAAGCCCTGCTGCGAAGCAAGAGGAAAGGAGAGAGGGAAAAGTAACTTATAGCGGCAGAACAGGTTGGAAGATGGCTGTTTGGTGT